CCCCCCAGTGAGGGGCTGGGGGCGTGGCTCAGTGGTAGAGCCCCTGCCTAGACTCCCCCAGTGAGGGGCTGGGGGCGTGGCTCAGTGGTAGAGCCCCTGCCTAGAATCCCCCAGTGAGGGGCTGGGGGTGTGGCTCAGTGGTAGAGCCTCTGCCTAAAATCCACCAGTGAGGGGCTGGGGGCGTGGCTCAGTAGTAGAGCCCCTGCCTAGACTCCCCCAGTGAGGGGCTTGGGGCGTGGCTCAGTGGTAGAGCCCCTGCCTAGAATCCCCCAGTGAGGGACTGGGGCCGTGGCTCAGTGGTAGAGCCCCTGCCAAGCATTTGCAAGGCTCTGCATTCTACCCCTAGCATGACAATAATAAGTAAATAAATGAGAAAAGAAACATGGTGTGTGTGTGTGTGTGTGTGTGTGTGTGTGTGTAACAAAGGGTGGAAAAGGAAACAGCAGAGAAGATAAAGAATGTGAAAGAATCATGAAGCAGGAACAGAAACTGCAAAGAGAAAAGAAAAAAAACCCGACATGGACGGAAACCAAGACACTTCATTGTCCTCTGGACTTTGCCACACAAGGGGTGCCAAGAACACAAGAACAACAGTAAAAGACAGGGGACATTATTCTCCTAAAGGGCAGTAGAGAACACTGAGGCACAGAGAGGTGAAGTGACTTGGTCAATGACACAGATCCAGGATGGAAACCCAAAAAGTCAGAACCTAGAGTCAGTCATTGCTTCTGAGCACGTAGCTGAGTCTGCAGAATGCTTTTTCTAGCATGCAAAGCCCTGGGTTCCGTCCCTGGCACGCCTGTGATCCCCTCCCTCAGGAGACAGAGACAGGGCAATCAGAAGTCTGAGAGAGAGAGAGAGAGAGAGAGAGAGAGAGAGAGAGAGAGAGAGAGGAAGAGGAGAGAGAGACGGACAGATCGACAGACAGATTTGAGTAGGTGGTGGGTGGGTATGGTGCTGCATAAAGCTACTGCCCACCTCTCGTCGCAGTATGTGAACTTCATGTCCAGGCTGTGGCGACTGAGAAAGGCCCCTCGGCCCAGCGGGGGCTCCAGACTGGCTGGGTGGGGGATGGCTTCACAGATAAGCACCAGGCATTGCAGGGGAGGCTCAGAGCGAGGGCTCTCGGCAGGGGAAGTCTGTGCAGGGGGCTTGTAGGCCCTCATATGTCCTGAGCAGTACAGCACCTTTGGGTGAAGTGGGGTGTTGTGAGTACTCATTTTAGCCCTGGGCTACCCACGGGGCTGGGATGCCTGCTGTGTCTGGGTACCATAAGGAACTGGGAGAGAAGATTCTTGATTACTCCTGAAAGTCGTGGGGAGCTCTGACATCTTCATTCCAACCCTAGGGAAACTTGCAAGATTTAATACGGAAGGCTGAGGACCTTTGCATCCTCAATGTCTGGCCCCGGGATACGCAATTTCATAGGTGCTCTGATGACCTACTGGACTCAGTCTGAAGGAGTTCCACCAAATCTCTGAGCCTGGGAAAGCCCAGATTCAATAGGGAATGAGACTTTCAGGGGTCAGGCCCACCCTACTGAGACCAGGCCCAGCCTACCTTCCAGGTGGCCGCTTTGAGGTTGAGCGTGCGCCCCCTGCTGGTAAGTGTGCTCTTCATTCGCAGGGAAAAGTGGCGTTCTGTTGGGGCTTCCAGCTTCTTTGACAGGCCTGGGAAGGCACGGAGAGGGGACAGGTCATTAAGTAAATGTTAAAGTCCCCCAGCCTCAGAGATGGCTTAACGGTTACGAGCGTTTATGGTTACCTCTTGCAGAGAACCCGAGCTTGAATCCCTGAATCTGTGTCAGGCAGCTCACAACCATCTGTAACTCCAAAACCCCACTTCCTGCCTCTGAAATCACCTGCACTCATGTGCACAATGATCTCCTGCCCCTTCCTCTCCCAACCCCTTAAAATAAAATTAATCAATCTTTCTTTCTTTCTCCCTTTTTTCTTTTCTTCTGCTCCCTCTCTCTTTTCTCCCTTCCTTCCTTCCTTCCTTCCTTCCTTCCTTCCTTCCTTCCTTCCTTCCTTTTTTCCTTTCTTTCTTTCTTTCTTTCTTTCTTTCTTTCTTTCTTTCTTTCTTTTTGAGACCTGTAGACCAGGCTGACTCGAACTCACAGAGATCTGCCTGCCTCTGCCTCAAGTGCTGGGATTGAAGGTGTGCGCCACTACACCTGGCAAAAGTAAAATCTTAAAGTCTCCCCAGCCTCATCTCCAAAGTTGAGACCTGGAACCAGAGAAGCGACACCACATCTAGGGAAGGGAGCCTGGGGGGTAAGGGAATCCCCAGGGAAGGGACTCCCGGGGTGTAGCTAGCTAGCTCTGTCCACTTTTCTCTATGCAGATGTTTCAGATTAGGAAGGAGAAGCCCAGGGTAGTCTGTTTCCTACCCTGAACGGTGGGCACTCACTTGGCCTGGGGGTCAGGGCATCCTGGAGTTCCTCTTGGTCGCAGGGATGGATAAAGTCAAAGATACTGTGTCCAATGAGCTCCAGCTGTGGTGGGGGTGAGGAATAGAGTGTGTAATGGACAGAAGACACACGTAACAGGACCCCTGAGCTCCTCCTTCCTTTGCTTATCACTTCTTCCCCAAGCCAGGAGTCTAGGTGATGTCATCAGCCCATTCATTCATTCATTCATTCATTCATTCATTCATTCATTCAGCAACCATTCATCAGCACCTAATATTTACTAGGACCTTTCTAAATGACTGAGCAGATCATATGGAACTTGTTTTTGCGGGGTTTCCTGGGAGATGTTTGTGCATGTGTGTCCATAGGGAGGCATCTGGGTATGGTCACATGATAATAAGATGCTAGGTTAATGACAGTGTCCTGAATAGTTCACTGAGAAGTCAACATTTAAAAAAAATAAACATGTTGAGCTGGAGATACAGCTAATTTGGTAGAGTGCTTCCCTAATGCTTGGCCCTGGATTTGATACCAAACACAATGTCTGGGCATTGTGTCAAGTACCTATAATCCCAGAAATGGGGACATGGAGGCAGGAGGATCAGAAGTTCAAGGTCATCCTTTGCTATGTAGTGGGTTTGAGGCTAGCCTGGGCTATATGAGACACTGTTTCAAAAGCTCAACAAAGTAAATGAAGTGAGTCTGTGGCTCTCTAGAGTAAGAGAATACTTTAAAAATGGGAGTCATGAATGGTGGGATGACCCATGCCTTTAATCCTAACATTCAGAAGACAGAAACAGGTCCATCTCTGTGAGTTCCAGGACAGCCTGGTTTACATATCAAGTTCCAGGCAAGCTATGGTAAGACCCTATCTCAAAGTGGGGGGGCAGATAGAGAGATACAGATTGGTCATTAGTTAAAAGCACTTGCTGCTCTTCCAGAGGACCTGGGTTCAGTTCCCAGGACCCATATCAGGTGACTGACAACTGCTTGTAATTCCAGTTCCAGAGGATCCAATGCCCGCTTCTAACCTCTGAGGGAACCTGCAGTACACGTGGTGTATACTTGTATATTCAGGATTCACTTGCAATGCACATGATGCATGCACATACACATGCACACACACACACAAACACACACACACACTCAGGGCCCCCTACATACCATAAAATAGATAGAAAAATCTTTTACTAATAATAAAAAAAACCAAAAATAAAAACAGGAGTCACACATTCGAAGGCCCTGGGGGCGAGTCACACCTTCTGGGCAGGTCCCAGAATCTGTTCCTTGTTTCAGTTTAGGAAGTGAGCCTGGTGATACTGAGGAGGGGACACATGAAAAGGTAGCCCCAGGGGGACCCGACCCAATGGTGTCTGGATGACACATGACTCTTTTAACAACACCTCCTGTAACTAGGTTTGATAGCTGGCTCTATCACTTCCTAGTTTGGGACTTTGGGGCAGTCACTTGTCTGCCTCTGAGAGCTCACACTCACAGAGAAATTGGTACCAGGAGTGGGGTTATGTATCAGGGAGGAGGAACAGAGGTCCACTGCACAGCCATTTACATGAAAGACAAAAAAGAACACAAACTTTCTTATAGAGGGCTCACTTTAAGGATGAATTAAAAGCTAGTTCTAGTCCCCAGCTCCTTTTCTCCTGCCTGAGATTTGTGTCCACTCCCTGTGGATCCCTTAACCTCTAGCCTTTCTAAATCCATTCCCTTTCTAAACTGTAAATATGATTCTACCTCTTTAATGCAGCCTCCCTCTTCTATGGCTCCCCAGTGCCTTGGGGACAAACCTCAGCTGGACACACATCATCTACCTGTTGACCCATCTGACTCCCCCCTCCTCTAACTTCTGCTGTCCTCTGTCCACAAACCAATTTAGTCACTTCTCCAGAGCGTTCTCTTTTCACCTCACCTCTGGGCCTTTGCTTGTGCCGGCCTTTCTCCATGTACACTCAGCCACATGATTGGCTAAGTCATTACATTTCAGCTGAGCTGTTCTTTCTTCTCAGAAGCCCTGAGTCCATCTCCTCCCAGGCTTCAACAGGTCTCAGCTTCACATTTCCTATATCTAACCTGTCCCAACACACTCTGACCCTTCTGTCTGGTGATATTCCTCTCTTCCCTCTGACCTTAAAGGAGGAACTAAGGTTGTATGAGGAAACCATGGGTGTCCCCCCCTACCCCTCCAATCACCAGTGGGGGTATGGCAGTCACAGAGCAGGCAACTCACCTGACTGAGGCCCAGGTGCTTGCTGACATTTTCTGACAGGTAAGCCATGTCTCCCTCAGCGGTGAGCACCATGACGAAACCCTCCAGGGCTTTCAGGTAGCAGGCATCCAGTGGCTCTCCCCTTTTTCCCACCTGGTTCCACTCCCCTGGTGCCCAAGCCGGCGGGGAGGGGGAGGATGGGGCAGCTGTGGTCAGTCATGGTTCTACCCTAGCTACCTTCCCTCCACCTTTCCTTACCCACATGAACTCATAGGAATGCCCAGGTGGATAGGGGAAAATTCTAGCATCTTGGAGTCCCAAGGAAGAGGGCAAGGCCACTAAGCTTTGGAAACAGGAACATGGACTCCCAGAGGGGACATAATCCTTCAAGATTCTAAGACTGAGCTCTGAGTAGTTGAAATTCCACGTGGCCTTAGTCCACGTGGAATTCCAGAGTTGTGGGTACATTTTCTAGAAATCTTGAGGATGAGGGATGGTCTGCCAGATGGGCAGAATACTAAAATGTCAGAGACTTTCAGAAGACAGAGTTCCATCACATTTTATTTTGTTTGATTGTTTCCTGTGGATGTGGAGATCCAAGGACAACTGGCAGAATTCTAAAGGGGCAAAGTCTCCCCCAGAATTCTATGGGGCAAGGGAATTTAATGGGCAGAGCCTCCCTAACAAAAGCCTTTCAAATCTCCAAGATTCTAAGGTGTGTGTGTGTGTGTGTGTGGTGGGGGAGCATGCAAGCACTTTCTTGAGTGACTGTTAAGAAAATAAGAGATAGAACTACAGAAGGGAGAGAATGAAGAGAGACTTTAAAGGAATTTTGAAAAAAAAAATGGTTGTAGAGCCTCCTGGGGTGGACAAGGATTAGCTAATCATGGTGGCTATGAGCTGAGGCAGAAGGTTAAGAAGCGCAAGTCTTGCCTGGCCTACCAAGCTAGTTCAAGGCCAGTTTGAACTTAGTAAGACTACATATCAAAATAAAACAGTTAAAAAGAAAAAAAAGAGCTAGGTGTGTGGCTCAGTGGTAGAGCCCCTGCCTAGAATCCACCAGTGAGGGGCTGGGGGTGTGGCTCAGTGGTAGAGCCCTGCCTAGAATCCCCCAGTGAGGGGCTGGGGGCGTGGCTCAGTGG